GATACCGGAAGAGGCTCCAGGAGGCCCCGGGATTGTGAGTGTTGTGTGTGTGTGTGTGTGTGTGATGTGTGCTCTGTGTTGTGCGTGTTTTCCGTGCGTTGTAGGTGTTGTGTGTGTGTGTTATCTAGCGTGTGATGTGTTGGGTGTGATTTGTGTCTCTGTGTGTGCATGTAGTTCTGCGGCCGCCAGGAGACCCCAGGAGGCCCCAGGCGGCCTCAGGAGGCCCCAGAAGACCCCAGGAGGCTCCAAGAGGCCCCAAGAGGCTCCAAGAGGCCGCAGGAGGCCCCAGGAGGTTCCAGGAGACCCCCAGGAGGCTCCGAGGCGGGGTCTGGGGTACCAGAAGGTACAGAAAGCTCCAGGAGGCCCCAGGAGGTTCCAGGAGGCTCCCAAGAGGCTCCGAGGCGTCTGGTACGTCGGAGCTCGATGTTGGGAGGATGTCTCAGGCGAAATCGCCATTCTCTGAGAATCGGGGTCAAAATCATTGAAATTACAATGTGTTTTTGAAGGTTTGATGTTCGAATATTGAAATTCCTATGTGTTTTTGGACCCTGACGTCACGATCTGCGTGAGGGGTGCCACCGATTTTCAGAACTTCGAGGATGTCCCTAGCGAAACGGCCAGAAACATCGCGAACGCCGCCTTCAATTAATCGGCTCTGAGCTCTACTCCCTCGGAGAGGTGCGTATTAAATATATGTATGTATGTATATATATACACATACATGGATGCATTGCCCGCATATAGTTTACATATAGGTATACACACGGATAGTTTATTATACGTACACCACATACAATATCTACGCATGTATAGATAGTAATACGATGTTTACCATTATCTATTCCATTATATTAGAATGTCGCAATGTATATTCTACCATATGCCGTTCGTTCTATCACTTTGTAGGATGATATAGTTTACAACATAGTATAACTCATTTGATACTACTGGTGCTGTAGTATACTGTATCATAGCATGTTCATTCCACCACACAGTAACATAACATTTCAGATGGTAGTGGATCGCATTCAATCTTTATTAAACCAGGATACATGATATCAATACATCATGCTGATATGTACATTCGATTATTAGTTCATTGTGTATAATCGTGTAACATATTCGATTATACCATATTACACTATACTATAAGTTACTATGCTATCGTATGCAACCGATTAACCGATACTACAGTAAACTGAAGGATAACACTCTATTTTATAACATGAGACAATGGCACATAATCGCATCTGCGTCTTAGGGCGAGGCGAGGGGGACGTCACAGAAAGGGGGTGGTTTGCGAGGTGTCGGCTAGGCCGCCCCTGACTTTCACGCCCCGAGCTGCGCGCTGGCCCAGGAGCCCCGAACGGGCCTCCGGAAACGTGACCTTGGGACGGGTTCGCCGCTGCGATCTTCTGCCCAGGACGCCAGACAAGGCTTCGAAGGTGACCCCGGGAGCTGACTCCTGGCTCTCTCCTGGCGCGTGCTCTGGTCAGACTCGCGCGAGGCGGATCCAGTCACTGCCACCATGACGCCCCGAGAGGACCAGCACAAATAACAAGATTACCCATATTCTCTATATTTTCTGCGTTTTCGTCTGTCCCCCCACTTCCAATATTTTCGCATATTTTCCTGGGAATCGACGACTTATTGCGTCTGTGTGTGTGTGTGTGTTTTTCCCCTCCGGACTGTCGCCAGCATGAGCGGAGCGGATCCTGGAAGAAAGGGGCCCCTGGACCCGAAGTGCGTATGTAGGGAACAGCGAGCCTGAAGTCGGGCGTGTCCGCCTACAGGGGGATTCTGGACGAAACATCAAAAATATCTAAAAAAACGACCCCCAGATGGCAAACAAATGCTCCAAACATTGTCCCCTGACTATTCTTGGACTATTTTTGAATATCCCCCCTGTAGGGGGACAGGCTCGACTTAAGCCTATGTAGGGAACAACGAGCCCCGTCCGAGCACAGGCCTGTGCTCCTCTCGGCGACCCGACGCCCTGGGCCACCTGGCTTCGCGCACGGCGCCCCTTCGCTGCGCGGCGCAAGGCTGGCCTCGCGCCCCGGCCCGGCCCCTCCTTGGGGAAGGGCAGCTGCCCTCAAGTCGTGCGTGTCCCCCTACAGGGGGATTTTCGACGAAAAAAACAAATGCTCAAAAAAAGTGCTCCAAAATTGTCAACGAATGCTCCCCAAAAAGTCCCCAGACTATTTTCTTACTATTGTCAAATATTCCTCCTGTAGATGGACAGGCCCGACTTAAAACTGCCCTGGCCCTGGCCGCGACGCGCGAAACGCGGCGACCTTCGCCCTCCCTGGGGGGCGACCCATCGGCGGCGAGCGAGGGCGCGGGAAGGCGAGGCCCCATATCTGCTGGAGTAGCCCGTTCTTGAGCAGGGGCTATCCGTCCTGGTTTTCTTGTTGGCCTACCACGACGTGCTTTCATAACGCAACAGGCTCGAATAACACTAAGCCAGAACATGTTCCAAATCACACACACATGTTTTTATATATATGTGTACGTTCTGTACGCGCATATTCATGTACACATCCTCCCCCCCTCCTCCCCCCCCCCTCCTCCTCCTCCTCCCCCTCCTCCTCCTCCTCCTCCTCTTCCTCCTCCTCCACAACTACACAATATAAAAATACTCTCCCACTTCCCCTGGTGGCGTCCCGAAGATATCCGACACCCCCCCGCGTATTGTTTTTCACACACAGGATTCCCGGGAAACGGGTTTTCGCTTGTGCTTTTTTTCAGAATGCTGCTTTCGCTGAGGCGCCGGCCTCAGTTCTGCCCCCGAATCGTTCCGAATCGTGCTCCCGCTGCAGCGTGGGCCTCATTTTCGGATCGGTGTTCGGCCTCCGTCGTTCAGGATGGCGTTCTCGCCCCAGCGCGGGCCTCTTTCTCGCGCGCCCATCCGCCCGCCACCACCGCGCCGCACCACCACCACCACCACCACCCACCACCACCACCACCACCACCACCACCACCATCCCCCACAGCACCACACCCACCACCACAGCACACCCACCACCAGCAACAGACACCCACCACACCACCACCACCACCACCACCACCACCACCACCACCACCACCACCACCACCACCACCACCACCACACCACCACACCACGCACGCACGCACGCACGCACGCACGCGCACCACCACCCACTACGCACGCGCGCGCGGAGCCACAAGTCCGATACGACACGCGTCCGCGGATAGAGATAATCAGCGCCATGGTAGGGATGGGAGGGAAGGGTAGGACGTCAGATATGACGCGAGCGCACCTAGCTTGTCCCCTTCCCCTCCTCCTCCCCCCCCCTCCTCCTCGTCGTCCTCCTCCTCCTCCATTCCTTCCTCTTACAAATAATTTTTCTCTGTCGCACCCCGAAGCCCGTTTCTATGGCGGGCCAGGCGTTTCGCCTGAGTCTTCCTCACCACTTATGACCCTGAAGCTTACACGCTGGCAGCCGTTTCACGGATGGAGAGCGGGTGGTTTCCGAAAGGTGGCTCTCGCCTTAGCGCCGCGCAAAGTGGTCTTCACTATTTGCAAGAGTTCCGCAGATTGAGGGCGAGGCGTTTTCAAAATGTTGTTCTCGCCTTAGCGCCGCGCGCAATTGTTTAAACAAGTGCAAGAGTTTCACGGGTTGCCCGCGGTTCCTTTTCAAAATGTGGCTCTCGCCTTAGCGCCGCGCACACTAGTTTGAAACATTTACAAGAGTTTCACGGATTCCCATGATCAGCGTACCAGAAATTTTGCCTTGGAAGGACTCAGGCTTATGAGGGTGCACAAATTTTGACTCGCGGTGTTCAAGTATCAAGACTGGCGCCCTGGCACGATTCAAGATCGTCAAGACGTAACAGTCAGTTTGATCCGTGGCGCTGGAATCCCGAGAACAATGTTTTGGCATGCTCCATGGTCTTTAAACAGTTGTCTTCCAACAAGGCAGTTCCCTCAGAAAAAAATGAACTGGCTGTTTTTAGGGCGGGCTGGGCACTTTGCCTGAGACTTACTCACCATTTAAGACCCTGAAACTTAAACGCTGGCAGCCGTATCACAGATTGAGGGCGGGCCGTTTTCAAAATGTGGCTCTCGCTTTGGCGCCGCGCACAATCGTCTTTAAAAATGCAATATTTCCGCGGGTTGAGGGCGAGTCGTTTTCAAACTGTTGTTCTCGCCTTAGCGCCGCGCGCAGTCGTCTTAAGCAATTGCAGGAATTTCACGGGTTGCCGGCGGTTCCTTTTCAAAATGTTGTTCTCGCCTTAGCGCCGCGCACATTCGTCTTAAACAGTTGCACGAGTTTCACGGAGTGCGGGCGGTTCCTTTTCAACATGTGATTCTCGCCTTAGCGCCGCACGCATCCGCTTTAAACATTAGCAAGAGTTTCAAGGATTCCCATGACCAACCTACCAGAACTTTAGTTTTGTAAGGATTCAGGCTTATGAGGGTGCACAACTGTAGACTCGCGGCGTTCAAGTCCCAAGGGTGGCATTGTGGCACGATTCAGGATCGTCAAGACGCAACAGTCAGGTTGATCCGTGGCGATGAATTCCCGAGAACAATGTCTTGGCATGTTTCAGGGTCTTCAAACGGTTGTCTTCCAACGAGGAAGTTCTTTCAGCAAAGGTGAACCGTTGTAGGGGGGAGCTTGGAGGGAGGGTGTATTCAAACATCGCTGATGCTTCTTGGGTTTGCACTGGTCTTCCTCCTCCTCCTCCTCCTTCTCCTCCCCCCTCCTCCTCGCCCTCCTCCTCCTCCTCCTCCTCCTCCTCCCTCCTCCTCCTCCTCCTCCTCCTCCTCCTCCTCTTCGCCCTCCCCCCTCCCTCCCCCTCCCCCCCCCTCCTCCTCCTGCTCCTGCTTCTCCTCCTCCTCCTCTCCTCCTCCTCCTCCTCCTCCCTCCTCCTCCTCCTCCTCGTCCCTCCCTCTCCTCCCTCTCACGCCCAGTCGAACATCCTCTTCCTGGGCCCTCGGGGCCCGACCTGGCCCCTCGCGGCGGCGCTTTCTGCGGTCCCCGCGCGCAGGCGCCGCGGGGAGAGCGCCGGCCCCCGCCCCCGCGCGGGGAGAGCGCCAGCGGCTCGCGCGCGCGCGCGCGCCCAGCCCTCGTGTCGGGGCGGCCTTCCGAGCGGAGGGGAGGGGGAGGGGGGAGGGGGGAGGAGGGAGGAGGGAGGGTGGGGAGGGGGGTGGGAGGGAGGGGAGGAGGGAGGAGGGAGGGGAGGAGTGGGGTGGAGGGAGGGGGAGGGGAGGTGGGGAGGAGGGAGGGTAGGAGGGAGGGAGAGAGAGGGGCAGGGGGGCGAGGCGGGAGGAGGGATTCGGAGATTCAGGTCCATCGCGAAGCGAGTAGGAGGCGAGGAGGAGGGGTGCGGAGGAACGGGGAGGATGGGAGAGGAGGCTGCGCAGCTTGCCCGAGACCGGGTGGTTCGGATGGGGGGGGAGGAGGGGAGGGGGGAAGGGGCAGGTAGGGAGAGGTGGGGGGAAGGGGGACGGGGAGAAGAGGAGGAGGAGGAGGAGGAGGAGGAGGAGGAGAAGGAGGAGGAGAGGGAGGAGGAGGAGGGGGGAGGAGAGGGAGGAGGAGGAGGAGGGGGGAGGAGGAGGGGGAAGAGGAAGAGGACCAGTGTAAACCCAAGAGTCATCAACGATGCTGGAATGAACCCTCCTTCCAAGCTCCCTCTTCATTGGCTCCTACAGCGGTTCATCTCCACTGAGGGAAGTGCGTCGTCGGAAGACAACCGTTTGAAGATTCTGAAGCATGCTCGGGATTCGAACACCACGGATCAACCTGATTGTTGCGTCATGACGTGCCTGACTCGTGCCAAAACGCCATTCCTGGGACTTCAATAGCGAATCAGCGTAGCTGTTGCACCCGCATGCTCCAGAATCTTTCTGAAACACCTTTTCTGGTACGTGGATCATGGGAATATGTGACCCTGGTGTGCATCTCATAGACGAGTGTGCGTGGCACTAAAGCGAGAACCGCATTCTGAAAAAGATGTGCGCCGCCCTCGATCCGTGAAGCTCTTGCAATTGTTTAAGGCGAATGTGCGCGGCGCTAACGCGAGAGCCACATTTTGAAAAAGAACCGCCCGCAATCCGCGAATGTGCGCGGCGCTAAGGCGAGAGCCACATTTTGAAAACCACCCGCTCTCCATCTGTGAAATGCCAATTTCTAGCATCAGGGTCATAGTTGGTGAAGAAATCTCGGGAGAAACGCCCGGCCCGCTTACAAAAACTGGCGTCGGGGTGCGACACGGAGAAGTTATGTGCAAGGACAAGTAATGGAACAGAAAACCAACAAAAAGAGAGAGGAGAAGGAGGAGGTGGAGGAAATGGAAAAGGAAGATGGCGAGGAGAAGGCGGAGGAGGACGAGGAGGAGGAAGAGAAGGACGGGGAGGAGGAGGAGGAGGAGGAGGAGGAGGAGGAGGAGGAGGAGGAGGAGGAAGGGGAGGAACAGGAAGAAAAGGAGGAGGAGAAGGAGGAGGAGGAGGAGGAGGAGGAGGGAGAACACGCTATCTCGGACGCTGTTTGCGGTGGTTTGCGGCCCACTGGCGGTGGACGGGACGGGCTGCTCGAAGTCCAAAAACTCAAAAAACGTCCAAAATCGGCCACGCCCTTCCCAAGGTTCATCCTGGCCTGTTTTTCGAGCTGGGCCGGGCCGTGGCGATGATAATCTCCAGACACGCCAACGAACCTCCCAAACGACGACGGAGTCGTCGTCCCAGAACCTCCCGTGCGCCCCCGAACATCCGACGCAACGAAGACGCCAGTAGAAACGCCCCACAGAACCTCCGAAAAAACGATGGCGTCGACGCTGCCGTTGTCCAGCGCGACGGGCGGGAGGAGGAGGTGCCGGCGCAGAGCGCGGTGGCGCGGTGACTCACCAGCACCGAAAGAGAATGTCCGGAAAAGGTGGGGAAATATACCCGCGAACATGATTCGAGGAAACCTGCGAGGGAAGCTCCGCCCGTCCTCCCCCTCCAGACCCCAGCGAGGCGCGGCCGAGGGGGGGAGGGGAAAGGGGGCGGGGGCAACAGCTGCGCTGCCGAGGAATCCCACATACTTATCTCAAATCTGGAGACGCGAACTTTTCACGGAGCCGCTACGCGCCGGACCTGGACGAACCGGCCGGGGCAGCCAACCAGACCAACCAAACCTGCCGAAAACGCCCAAGGACCATTCATCCTAAAACGCGCGAGGTACCCGGGCCAACCGCGCAGATCCACAAGACCAACTGGACCGGCCAGTCCTGACAGAGACGCCCGAATCTTGTTCCAAGACGCGCGAAGCAGCCAGGCCAACTAGCCACAACAACCAGACCAACCAAACCACGTCACATACGCTCACGGTCTCTACGATCATCACATCAACTATCAGTACTTCTTCTTCTTCTACTACTACTACTACTACTACTACTGCGACTACTGCTAGTACTACTACTCATCCTCCTACTACTACTACTACTACTACTACTACTACTACTACTACGACTACGACTACGACTACGACT